AAAAAAAAGAAAGACGAATGTGCGGTTGAAAGAAAGCAAATGACTGACTAGTAGTAGGACAAGAACGTCAGCATACAAGACGGATATAAAAGAAAAAGAATCTGATAAAAACCCGTCAATAATACGTATCACAGAATACCTTGACAACGGAAGTTTTTTTTCCTTTACCATCGTAAAGAAAAGTCTATATTAATGACATCATCATCACAACAACAACAACAACAGCAAGTTCCTGAAATAAAAACAGTATCTATGACTGATATTGATTGGAAACAACGTTGTGAGCAACTTAAATCTGAACATCAACTTGAACTTGAACGAATTCATCGTCATTATGATAATGAACTTAAAGAAAAAGTAACTGGTAAATATAAACAAAAACAAAAAAATATAAATATAAAGTTTTATGTATATATATATAGAAATTCGTATGAGATTAAAACATGAATATGATCAACATTTTGCTGAATTTCGAGATCGTCTATTACAACAACAACAATTACATAATATTAGTTCGAATAGTTTAAATCTTGATCATAGTATTGGTGAACAAGTTCGTGAACAAATTCGTATTGCTCAAGAATATGATCAATATGAAGATGAACAACGTCGACAGTTGCTATCACAACAACAACCAATCGATAATGAAGAATCTAAACGGCTTATCGATAAATTACATACAGAAGGTAAACAGATACAAATATCAAAAAAAAAATAATCTTGTTTGCACTTTTAAATTTCAATCGAACTACTTAAAAATGTTATTTTAAGTTTTATTAATAATGTCAAAGAAGACTTGAAAGTATTCAACTTGTTGAAAATATTTCTCTTGTTCAACAATTCCATTAGCAAAAAATAATATATACATTTATTTGATAGGATGAAAGATTAGTTTCTTTTAAAAATATATAATGACACATAATAAAATAGAAGCGAATTTTATATTTCGATATCGAACTTTTTTTTTCATTTACGCAACGTATTTTATTGAACGATATCTTTACGATCATTATCTAAGTTTTATAACTCAAATAAAATATTTATTTAATTATATTTTAATTTAGGTGTAAATGTTTTAACATTAAGTGAATTACTTTCATTACAATTACATGGTATTAATCTCAATACAACAGATAAATCCATAGGCTCATTACAAAAATTACATGAAGAAAATAATTATCTTCGTTCACTTATTGCTAATATGAATGCAAATGAAAGTAGTAATTTATTAATAAAATGTCTTGCTGATATATTTCGATGTGAACAAGAACGTCGTTTAATTGATATACGTGAAGAAAAAAATTGTAGTGAACTGGAACAAGAAATTCATCATATGTGTGATTATCAACGTAATGCATTAGGTAAATTATTATCACAAGATCGTATTATATTAATAAATGAACTTGAACAAACAAAAGAACAATTAAATTCTTTACAAGATAATTTTCAACAATTAAAAAAAAATCAAAATCAATCAATAATAGTAAATTCTCATCATTTAAATAAATTTTATTTAAAATTTCTTCGTTGTGAAGCATATCGAAAAGCTTTAATTTATCAAAAACGTTATTTACTTGTTTTATTAACTGGTTATGAAGATACAGAAACTTATGCATTAAATGAAATACGACGTTTAACAGGAGATATTAAAACAATTTCATTTAATTATGATAAAATGAAATTAATTCCTAAACAACAATATACTCGACGTTCATTTAATTATCGTTTTCGTTTTCGGTGCTATATCACAGTTGTTATTGGAATGATTCGAATGCGTTGGCTTGCAAAAAAATGGGCAAAAAAATTAGCAACTATTCGATGAATGATTTTTTTTTCTTTGTTTTTTTATACTTTTCTTTTCTTTTCTTTTTTTTATCAATGTAAACTTATAGATGTGCTAGTATTCGTAATAATAGAAAAATAAATGAAATCTTTTCATAAAGCATAAACAAAAATCAATAAATGTAATATTATCTAACCATGAATTCAATGCCATTAGTATCTAACAGTTGTTGATATTTACATGTTTTATATCAGCGAATGTAAATCTCATTAGGTTTTCTTTTTCTGACAACGAAGGTTAGATTAAACGCATCGAAAGAAGGACATTTTTCCAGCGTCTACTAAGATTCCTATAACAATGATAATGCACGTATTAAAGAATAGCACGAACAAATAGCATACATTTCCATTTTTTTATCTTGTTTGTTACCTCGACAAAATTAGATAAGAAATGCATTTCTATGCGTTCCGCATGCATAGTACTTAATCATCCCATGTTTTAAATACTTACACTTACTATTTAGATTCAAGTATATATACAGCTTTGTTTCATATTTCAACTTTATCTATATCAATCATGGCTCGTCTTATTTTTCAATTATTAGCTATACAATTGGTCTTAGTTGCTACTGTTTTTAGTATTTTCTCAAGTTCAGGCAAGGTTAAAGATGCAACAAAATATCAACTTCAACAAAAAGTTCTTACACTTGGTTCATCCTATGTAATTAAAGATCAAAAAGATAAACCTGTTTATAAAGTAAATTCTTATATTTTTTTCTAGAATCTTTATATAACAAAAAACTTTATCTCACACTCTCTTTAGGTAGGATTTAAAGCATTAGGTCTTGGTAAAAATCTTCAACTTACTGATCCAACTGGTAAACAAGAATATTATTCAAGTAAGAAATAAAAAATTTATTTTTATCTTAATTTTTATGTATAATAATTTAGTTAAACATATTCTCAACCCACTTGGTTTAGCTAAATATGAAATTCGTCAAAATGATCAAGTTGTTGCTGATATTAGGTAACTATCTATTATTTTTTAGATATATATATGTTTCTAATGTATATTAAAATATTTAGTCGTAAAATAAATATTGGTGGTAAAAAATTCTCAGTTAAATCTAAATTTGGTACATATGGTATTGAAGGAAATTTTCGTTCACGTGAATTTAAAATTAAAAAAGATCATCATCTTGTTGCTACTATTTCAAAGAAATTCTTTGCAATAGGTGATAAATATGGTGTTAAAATTACCCAAGGTCAAGATGTACCATTTATTTTAGCTTTAGCTATTGTTGTTGATGAAGTAGCTCATGATTAAAGAAATTTAGTCTTTTTAATGAACCGTTTTTTTTTATTATTCGATTTTGCCCTTTTTTTTCATGTAGTTTGTCTTTTTTTTTTGAAAATGATGATTAATATTAATATATATAATATAATCAGCATCAATTGAATTTCGATAGAATAAAAAAAAATGAATTGTTTATTTGCTTACATAAATAATCATGGTATTTGATTCTTATCTGTCTTTATTCACAATTTGATAGAGATCGATAATTCAACATAGGATATTCGAAATTTCAGACGTATTAGAAGGCCATGGAAATAAGAGTATGCCCTTTTATTCTGAGAGGCGATAATGATAAGAAAGAACATTATATCGATAAGTTGAAATAGGCCTTGTCTTATATTTTCTCAAAATTTAAGTTTTTTTTTTGAATCATAGTTACAAAAAATATTTGGATTTCATACAAAGAAATAATCATCTGACGATAATCATAACAAGAAAAAGAAGAAGAAAAAAAATCACAATACACAAAAAGAAAAATACATAACTTATGTTTTAGATGGTGGTAATGGATCTGCTCGAATTCCAGGAAAGTCAATATTTTTATCGAGTTCTTCATCTATTTCACCAATCAAGGCAACATTATCACCACGTATTATATAAAGACCAAGTAGAACTTGTTCAACACCATCTGTAGAGGAGAATACACGTTCATGACTATCGTCTAAAATAATATTTATAGCTTGATCAAATCCACGTAATGTTCCAATGATAATTCGACCATCTGCTGTAACTATATTAACTGATTTATTAATATAAGAATCAAGTACTTGTGCCATATTATAGTCGTTTGATATATATAGATTGAATCTACAATGAAATTTCAATGGATAATCAATCAATCGGTTAGTGTAAAGTATGGTTAACCAATAATAAATATCTTGTCATATATTGAATTTGAATTCACAAATAAATTAAAAAATATCTTTTAAGTTTTGTATTCTGTACTTGTAGGATGTTTTTTTAAGTAAGTAAATCGAAAATATAATTTGCCAAGAGAGGTCGCTTTGACGAAGAAAAGATTTTCATATGGTTGTATATCGAACATTCGATATTTTTTTTATGGAAAGAATATACATTATGGCATCTTCCAAAGACATGTTTTATGTTTCGTCAACTTGTATCACTATAAACAAAACTTTCAATCGATATGAACGGTATTTTCAATAAAGCTTTTCTTTGTTTTAGCAAAGAAAAGGATTACAAGTTTAATAATTCAAAACATGTACGCCGAATCACATAAACGTCTATTTATATAATAAAAATATAGTTTAATTTAAAAAACTTTGTACTACACTATATATTGAAATGACTCTTTCAAACATTTTGAGAAACCGATCATGAACTCTTTCACTAGTGAAGTGTCTCGGAAGTTGAATTGCTTTGCAATTTAGTTCTTTTGGATTATTTTGTAATTCATTCACGGCATCTAGTGCATCCAAAGAGCTCACTTCAGTAAGTGAACAAGCGCGTTCTTCTGTTCAAATTAAGCAATATCATTGGCGTTTTTACGTAACAACGACTGTTAATTTCTCTTGTTTCTTCCGATGTGATTGACCCCTAATAGTGCATGTAATATTTGTGATATATTTACACCATAAAGACGAAACGAATAAGAGTAATATGTGTTTCGTTCGCTCTATTTTTAATAAGTATAAAGGAAGAAGAAGAAAAAGAGTCGCGTATACATACATTCGTTTGGTTTTTTCCAAGTATGTTTAACTAAGGTAAATACGAAAGAATAACTAACGACAAATGAATGTTCGTGTTACATATATAGATTAAATTTCCTGCATTCGAAATAAATAAACTCAAGTTTTTATTTAAAACGTTGGACATAATTTCTTTCTGCGTCATTCATATCCCATCCATTTTATTTATCAGAATATCAACGATTGGTTGTTGTGTCCTCTCTTAATTATTTACAGTGAAATATATCAGAAACTGAATAATACAAATATTCAAAATGGCTTCAGCACACGCCGATAATCCAATCCTCAATGGTCGTTTTTCAGATGTTGGTACAGAGCCGTGCACAACGCCGATTCCTATAGCAGGATATGAGAAGATGCCATTGGTCTCACTTGAAGAAGCTGTCGAACCGCTTCTTTCACTTGTACCTGGCGTTCAACGAACAGTATGGATTGTGAAACAACGTTGTGAAAATCCATTAGACGAACTATCACCTGATGAATCAGCTTCTATTATGCTCTATACCACAGAAGGAACATGCAGAGATGATTCATTCTATTCTATTCTCAATTCAACTCTACGCACCGAAGATAGGACAAAATTGCGACCGTGGTTTTTGTATCTCAAACTCGTGCTCACTGCTCTTTCGAAACTTCCTCCAACTGACCGTCACACCACCGTCTATCGAGGAATAAGACTCGATATGAGCCATGAATATCCTCAAGGCAAGACATTTGTTTGGTGGGGATTCTCCTCATGTACGACAAGTATCGATGTTTTGGAGCAGGATCTGTTTCTTGGAAAAACAGGTCCAAGAACTTTATTTATGATCGAATGTAAAAGTGGAAGGAACATTCATCGACATTCCTATATTGAAAAGGAAAATGAAGTGCTGCTTTTACCTGCCATTCAGTTGCAGGTTATCGCCTGTTCTAATCAGAGTGATGACTTGCACATGATTCAACTGAAGGAAGTCAAGCCACCGTATCAACTCTTGACGCCTTTGTCTGATCTTCATAGCCCAATTGTCATATCGCCAGAGAAAAAATCTTCAAGAAAATTTCTCTCCCTTCGCAAGATGTCAATCATCAGAAGTATGATATTACCTAAAACACATCAGGTATATCAAAATGTGGAGCTTGAAGAAATGATTACCAAAGTTAAACCACACTCATTGATAAATTTGGAACGACAATTCTTGACAGATCAAGACATGACTATTGTAGCAGAACAAGCTGTGATCAACAAACAGTGCACGATATTATATTTACAGAATAACAGAATCACATCGCAAGGTGTCTCAATCCTGGCTGAAGCATTGCACGATAATACAACACTAGAGAAACTAGATATCTTCAGCAATCGTGTGGGTGACATAGGAGTTGATTCTCTTGCACAGGTGCTCGCAGAAAATAACTCAACTCTTAAATCACTTAAACTTGGTTGGAATGGTATCACCGACAATGGTGTCTACTATCTGGCTGAAATGCTGAAGAAAAATAGAACATTGATCGAACTCTCTTTACCTTGGAATCGAATAAGTGATGCAGGAGTGAAACTGTTAGCAGATGCACTCACTAAACACAACACAACTCTCAAAAAGCTATCTCTCGACTTGAATGACTTAGTGAGTGATGCGAGTGTGAATTATTTCATTGACATTATGAATCAAAATCAATCACTGACTACACTCGATGTACGCGACTGCAAATCACTATCCAAGACAAGCAAAGCAAGACTGTGTGAGGTGGCCAAATCAAAGCAAAACTTCGAACTAGGTCTATAAGTTCGATATATTCAAATGATGAGGGAATTAGCCTGATACTAAAAAGCTTTTGAGCTCGGAAATTGTTCACGAATAGAGTGCATATAAGTTATAAAAAGATTAAAAGGATATGTACGCAAGTTGTAATTTTACTAAGATATCGACATTGTAATATACTTTTTAGAATAAAATTTTACTTTTTCAATAAACCAAATGTTGCAAATTTAGACTTGAAATTTAGTCCACAAGCAGATCGCCATTATACTACCTTGGCATCAACTGTTTTTAGAGTTCTTAGACGGGGTGTGGATGTGAATAGTATTTTGTTTCTGTCACACTCACATCCTGGTCGTCACAGTGGCTTACCTACTTGGTATGACTATAAAAAAGGGTAGTATTTGACTGATTGTGGTTTTATATTTTCAGGAAGTTGAGTCTTTTATTAATTAAACAGTTTCTTAATTATTACATAGCTTTGCATCATGTTCGAAAGGAAGAAATCACACAATGCACACACATGCTAATACGCAGAGTTCACACTCGAGAGTCCATAGTATCAGGTGAATCGGGTGCCGATCTCGTCGATACATCTTCAGCTGTAACATGTCCAGGTGGTAATGGCATTGAATCGATGATATAAGACGGTTTTGGGCCAACAAACGCGTGTCTAGCCCAAAATATCCAATAGATTGATGCAATCAATGCAATACCACCAATAATTACTATGGCATAGTTCATATTATCTTTTGTTACTGGATATTGAAATGGAAAAAACATAAGAATTGATGTAATAAAAAGCCATATACATGAGATGATTGCAATTGGGATACTAAATCTTCCTAAATTAAATTCACCCAAATGAAATGTATGTCGAGCAGTTGTGCAACGTAAAAGAATAGGCATTAAATATGATATTTGATAGCCCAGTGTAGTAACGGCAACCATAGAGCTAAATGCTGTTCCCGATGCAAATTGAAGTAGTTGAAAGAGAGAATCAATGGTAAATACAAAGATGATATTGGCTAGAGGTATTTGTTTCCGTTTCCATACCCAACGAAGCTGCTTTGAAAATGGAAATATGCCATCACGAGCCATTGCAAAGCTAAAGATACAATAGATTGTGAGATCTTTGTTTGATTGAAATTTATAAAAAAGCAGTCATACCCAATTCGACTTGTAACTGTCATGGATGGCGTACCAGCAAAATGAAGATTAATAATAAGTAGAATAGTTAGTGCAAGTGCACCTCCTTCATGTGGTAAAACTGATTGAAAGACAGCTATGGCGAGATTGAGTGTTTCATCAGCACCGCCATGCGCTTTCATAAATGTGGTCACATCCGGAATGACAAAGAGAAGAGCGAGTAAATAGACAACGCCGATAATCGTACTGCATATACATGTACCAACGATACTTCTGGGTGCTGTCAAATAAAGAAAATGATAACATATGAATCAAGAATTTCTCACATTTTGTTTTCTTTCTACACTCCTCTTCTGATTCTCATCAAACGTTCTGAAAAAACTATCACTTTCCTAACAGCTAAGGATAGAATGTTTTCAGATGTTCACTCACTTTGAATTCGAGACTATATGTATCATGTAGATCCTAATGAGTTGCAAATGTCCTGAAAAGAGTTCGTGTCTCTAGCTCGTATCTACCGAGATACACAATTTTATAAGGGTGAATAAGTGTAGCCGAGCAAATGATAAACACTCACACGCTTACTGGATACCCTGTTGTATATAGAGCAAGACAGAGAAGAGTATAGAAAAGATGTCCTGTGTTCTTCTCTAATTTTTACTATCTATTCTATAAGATAGATTACCCGAACTAGTCCATCAACAAGCACATATACTTATTTAAAAAAAAGCCTATCTGCTTCGTGAAACGAGAATTCACTTATAGTTCAAAAGTTCTAGTCACTCTAATTTTTGTTCTAAAAATATTTTACAACAGTTTTTCTTGTTCAGACCGATTTCCTTTGTATATATTTCAATCCTCTTCTTGTGTTTTTATTTTATGCAGTTCATTCATATTTCTCTTTTCTCTCTCTCTCTCTCTCTCTCTGTCTCTCTTACCTGCTTTGGTAGCACCCCTGGTTTCTTCGGCCAAATGAGCACCAGCTATAAAAGAAAAACATAATAATATCAAAATTTCCTTGTCTACATTGGTTATCTATATATATCGGCTTAAACGCGCGTAACGCGATGACGTTTTGGCCAGAGTAAATCCATCTTTTCTCATAGACTAACGTTCTTAGGAAGTTTCTTTCTGCGCCATAAAATGTACCTCTCAGCCCTCTAGAGATCCTTGAAAAAATTATCCTGTTTGAACGAGCTCTTTGAAAATGGTCGATAAAATACATGTCGTAACACGATGACGAAAAAACGACAAAATTTTGATAGTGTTGTGCTTGTTCGATATTTTTCTGCGAATCTAGCCTACATCAAAGGGGACATTTATTTGATGGTTTGTAGCCCACACCTTAGGGTATTTAATGATAAAACTAGTTTAGCAAATAGACAGTCTATTCTGCCAAAAAGTCGCTTTTAAGAATGTAACGCGATGATGGCTTCGTAACGCGATGATGCTAAGTTTTGATTAGAGTTTTTTATACATATTTTAGAGACATTTTCAGCCGCATAATGTAAGAATAGTGTAGTACTTGCCATAACTACAGGAAATATGCATTAATTTTTGTGCTATTAAACATTTCAACTCAAAAATTACGAGTAACAAATTAGGCAGGCTAACCTATCACTATCTAATTTGTGAGAGGTATTTCTTGATTTTCTTCATAAAAATATACTTGAAACATGAAACCAAGTACATATTCAGAATCAGCGTGAAAAACTGCGTCGAATCCATAGAACTAAGTTGAAAAATATAAAACTTTATTTCTTGCGAACTTCTGACCCCGCTTATAAATAAGGAAATATTTTGGATTCTTCAGTAGATTCATACAATTCTGACGTAGTATTTCGAATAAATTTACTGTATCTTGATGATAATACCTTAGGAATCAAGAGAGAGTTCTTATACATTGCTTAAAACAATTCTTGGGCGATGAGTTGCTAATAAATATATTTTTTCATAAAAACGGGAAAATATAAGGAAAAAACTAGAAAATCGTCATCGCGTTACGCAAACATTTCCATCGAAAGAATTGCTTCTAAATAAAAGTATGCCTATTTGATAGAGCAAGAAAAGTTAGCTTTGCGTACAAACTTTCCATCCAAAAATAAAGTGGACTAGCGGGTGAAAAATAAAGAATTTGTTGTTTTCGTTACGGGATGATGCTGTAAATTATGCTAGTTTTGTTTACACCCCTTCACAAAAGTAAAAAGTATCAGAGAGTCAATAATTATGTGAAAGGATACCTCTATCCTAGTATACATAATTAGTCTTAATCAACTCTGTAAATGATAAACTATATCAATAAAATCGATCAGAACAATATGTGATATTTATAAAGTCATTTTTTTCATCATAAGGTAGTATCTTTGTTCCTACTACCTACACACGAATTTTTGCAGTCAAAATCGAAAGAAAATATGTTCCTACACACGTTAGACTATGCCCTATAAAATAGTGATAATAAGTTCTCGAAGTAATGAATTCGAACTCTCGACCATGAAGGTGACGCGTTACGCGTTTAAGCCGATATATAATATACCTTCATAACCGCAGCATATAAAAAGTGTTGAAAGTATTCCAATACAGTATACATAACCAAAAGAAAATCCGGTACCATTGTAGGTAGACGTAAAAACATCCTTAGCAGAGGCTCGTTCTGGAGCCATAACAAGAAGAACAATGACGATAGTAATTAAAGAGCTAATTTGGAAAAATGCAGCTACATTATTAATCCATCCTTGTTTATCGATTCGTAGAGTATTGATAAGAGTCCACACAAATGTAATTGCTATAGCAATGCTTACTTGTTCTCCGGTACTTAATGATGATTTTCCATTTAGTATAACTACAGCATTCACCATGGTTGCAAAAGCAGATGCATACGCAGCATCACCTTCAATTGTATGTAATAAATAGGATATATTTCAAAACAAAGACTCTTCTTTTGTTTTACATCTTACCTGTAACATTACCAAAAAAATTGAACCATCCACAGATAAAAGAAGCCAATGGAGCATATCGCAGAGGAGTAAGCATACCGGACCTATATTTGTATTAATTAATTAATCGATTAAAAAAAATAATTTATTTGTAGACATACCAATGATAGACAGAACCTGCACTAGGATAGACTGAACATATTTCTGCTAGTGAGAATCCGATGAGAATTGTAAAGAACGATGCAATGATCCAACTCCATATGGCCACACCTGGACCGCCTATATTCATTTGATAAGTGAAACCAAGTGAAATTCCTATGAGCACGTTGACAGTTGTGAAACAAAATGAAAATGACATAAATGGAGAAAATCCACGATAGAGCTCTTGTGTATAGCCTATTTGCCGAAGATAGCGTGCATCTGCATCCTTTTCTTCTTGTTGTCGTTGTATAGTTTTTTCGGACTTCCTGAACATCATAGCCAAAAATGAAAATAGACCGGAAGACATATCTAAAATATTCGATCGAACAAATAATTTTTTGACTAATTAATACAATATTTTTTGTGAATATGAATGTACGTGTCGGTACTTAGAAAATGAAAGTGGATTCTCTTAACTACCCGTTTACAGCCTGGCACCTTCACTTGAAATTCTAATCGATCTCAATACAGTTTATGGTCGTTTTTGTACATAGATAATATTCTTTTAAAAACTATGTAAACAAAATGCACGGATTCAATATAAAAACGATTAGATACTGTCTACTAAGTTTACTAGTCAAGATAGAGTTAAACTGGACTGATATGCCGAGTACCTGTCTCTGTATATCGATTTGGTACAGACTTTTCTCACTGATTTTATATAGAAGGCGAAGTGTTTTATCAATACACTATCACAAATAAATATTCATCTGTGTCAATAAAGATATGCATGCTATATATGAAATACGAATGCAAATATTTATGTTTGAATATTGTGAGCTGTGAGATAATCTACCTATACTTATATTCTCAGTGGATATGATCTGAAAAAACTGCCCGAGACATTTTCAAATGACTTACAGTAAAAAATAGAATAGAAAAATTACTGATTAAAATTTATCAATAATTTTGAGTCAATCTACAGGATAACGAGAAAAGAAAAAAAAATAATAAGCATATGGATGCAGTATTGATGATAGGAACGGCTATCGATATAAGCTATCAATTTAAGTTTATTTTGATCATTCACTACTGTCATTTAAGGATTAACCAATTATTTATTATTTTCTTTTTTTTCTATTCTGTGAGTTTTGTTGAAATTATTGATTAACTTTCAACGAGCGATTTCTCGTTCCTATACTGTGATTAAAGTAAAGGTATTTCTCATCATTGTAGAACGTCTTCGATAAACACTTTCGCAAGCAAATTTCCCTTAAGTAATGAGGTACTTAACATAGCAACGTAATGGGAACTATTGCTTACCAATCCAACAGAAATCCAAATCGATAAGAAAAAGCGTTTTCCTTCTCTTCTTCCTTCCAATCAACACGAGAATACCAAATAAAAAAAACGGAGTCGAACATATGTTCACAGTAGTCATGTTTGCATGATAAATAAAAATAAGAAAAGCATTCACGCATGACAGTGATGAATACGACAAGTAAGACGAATCTGTCTGCACTGTCTTTTACCGCTTCCTCTTAACGAAAAAAAGCGCAAAAAGTGAAAAAAGATGAGTAACACATTAATGAATATACAAGAAGAAAAAGAATACCTTTTTACTTTTATCTACTTCCGAAATAAAAAATACATTTGTCTTTCTCACGACAATATTTATCATTAAATTTGAACTACAAATAGATTTTTTATAATATACAATAATTATTCTATACAAATTATTTGTTGAACTAGTTATTTAATTTTATTGATAGTTTTATTAGAATATACATGTATTGAATGCTGTATCAATAAAAGCTGATTCGGAGTATTTGCTTGTGATTCAAGTTTCTTTAATTTCTGTTTTCCTTTAGTTTGTTGTAATATATTTAATTATATTATTATTAATTGGATTTTTTTGTTTAAAATTTCTGTGTTAATACATTCGGTCTGTTACTTATTTATCAGTTTATCAAACGTATATTTTGTCATAATCATTACATTCAATTTTATAAACAACATCAACGTTTTTTTGATTATTCTCTTTATTTGTTTCTTTTTAAATATGACTCTGATGTTGAATTTATATTTATGCAATATTTTGTTTAATTTCTGACTAAATATAAATAATTTATTGCCATAATAACTTAGTATTATATTGACTTTATCATCATTATCTTTTAATATACTTTGCTATTATTATTCTGTTTATTCATGTTATAATATATAGTATTGTTGTTATTATTTGAATTTATGTTGTTCCTTAAATGATGGTTCACTTTATTACTATCGTTTGAATTTTAGTTACTATCAAGACAGTTATTCAATTTATAGATGTTATTAATATTATTTATGTTGTTACTATTACCATGATACAATTTTGAGTGTATGTATGGAAGACGCCATCGACACCAACATCCATACGCACACACAAGAGATCGAGTTTTAATTAGTACTACCCAACATTGTATCAATAGCATCAGCATATTGAAACGTCAGTTGTTAATAATCCTTCATTTGTCATTGATGTTTTTCGAATGTAAAATTCGACATACAAATTCTTGGATTCTGTGCGAATTGTTTCGTGAGAGATCAATTAGTAAAGTTTGGATGAACAATTATGATGATTACGAGAATTGTAATGGGTGTGGGTGTTGAATGAATAAAATACTAACATTCATATCCACATGAACACCTACGTTTTAATAGAAAGTATCTCAGTAAATCATAATTATAGCAAGTTCATATATATATTTAGATTTACAGAATTAAAAGTAAATTTAATAATTACATTATAACTTGAAATATTGATAAATAAGCAATAGAATAAAAGATCAAGTATACTAAAGAAGAAAACAACAAAATAAAAACATAGAAATATCCAAGAGAACTTCGCAAATTACAAGCTTATTCAATCTGCTAATTTTTCTCTACAATATTTATGAGATTACAAATGATAAAATTTATTAGGCACAATAATTTGAGATGCGATAAAAATTATGAGAAATTTGACATTTTTCTTTTAGGAATTCGACGTACGTTACATTCACAGATGTTTAAAAGAATATCTATAGAACCAGACTCAGGATTTGCAACGATTATGTCCTGATAAGTATCATCATTAAAATCATAAACACCAATAATAGCTCCATAACGAACCAATTTGTCGAATAGTATGTTTTGCGTCTCAAAATAACCTTCCCCATATCCAAGTAGCACATCTATACCATATGGCTCACCCGTAGTAGCAATGTCTAAATGATTATCACAGTTAAAATCACCTACAACTATAGGTGCTACGACGTTAGATTTCATGATAAACTTCTTCTTGACGGTGAAAAATCCATTTATATATTTAGACAATACAATGACTATGTTTGAGTTATGATCAGAGATAGCGGTGTCTAGTCGAGCATCACTATCAAAATCACCGCTTACAATATGACTCGGATTAGAACCAATAAAAGTAAAAGATCGCTTCTGTGCTTCAAAAGTTCCATTACCGAATCCAAGAAATATACCAACATTCAGAGCTCTATTATTGGTAACAGCAATATCTATGTGTCCATCACTATTAAAGTCACTGACAGTCAGGGATTTAGGCTCACTTCTATATCCAGTAGAAAACATCAGCTGCGATGAAAAAGTTTCGTTAACATTTCCAAGAAACACACAAACATTAGAATTCTCAGTATTAATGACAGCAATATCTGAATAATTGTCATGATTGAAGTCGACTGCAACGATGTAATCGGGCATACATTTCGTTGTCCCTAATGTTATATTCCGGACTCTAAAGGTTGCATTGCCGTTTCCAAATAGAATGTTTACATAGTTTACATCGTGAATGGTAAATAAGAGATCGACTCGATTATCATTATTGAAATCACCAACTTCCATTTGTCTCTTCGATGGAAAACTTCCTTTGTTAAAAATATTTCCTACTGTAAAAGTTTCGTCACTATTTATAAGCAGTATATTTAAACTTTTGTCATCGTAACAAAAAAACGCAATATCAGCTCGATTGTCATCGTTGAAATCAGCAACAGCAAACATTAGATCACCGGAAGCAGCAGCCGATATATTTATTGATATTGGTCGAAAATTTAACTTACAAAGTGGAGCTATCAAAAATAAAATAATGAATTAATTTTTCGTATTCTTAGCGTAAAAGTATCTGGAAACAGATTTATGCAAGTTAATGTCAGGACAGCTATTATATTTTTAATTTTAGCAGTCAACGAATAAAAGAAACAACCAATCAACTACGTTTGATTTAAGTCATCTGAACATATTTAATCAAAAGACAGAGAAACAGACGATTCTAGCCACTGGAATGGGAACCAAAAGCTATTATTACACTACCAAATTATAGATAAGAACTACGTTTCTAGTTATTCAGGTTTAAAAAATAGTTTCGTTTGACTAATATAGAGATAAAATATATAGTATTGTCCACGCTACTCAGAAAGTTCGTGACGATTTTATTTTGTATAAACTCTGAAGAAAACCTTGCTTTGTACTTTCATCATCTAGCTTCGATCACTGTAATATAGAAAAGTAGACAGAATAAAAGATCAATTCGAGTGATTCTAGGTCAATCTATAGTTAAAAGATATCCATTGAGTTTTGGAACAATAACTTCTTTTCTTGTATAATCAAACTATAAGAATTTAACTCAAGAACAACTATATAAGAACTGAAATCCGTCAATTTTTCACTTTAATTCACTGACCTGTTGTGTTTGACAATGTTGATGTTGTTGCATTTATTGTTGAGTTCAAATTAGTAGTATCATTTGTCGTAGTGATCGACGAAACTATCAAAAATATAGTTGATAAATATTCTTTTAAAAACTTTATTAGCTTAAATATTAAGAAAATTCAAAGTAAAATTGCATATAAAAGAACATCAAGAATAATCAGTGACTATCACATTTATATTTCTTTCGTCTTCCTGAGGTTAATTTATTTTAAATTTCGAAATGAATTTGAAGTGATTTCTCACGGCAAAAAATAACACTTGTTGAGAGAATCTTATTCTTACCTTGTCGGGCGACGTAAAATGAAAAAATAGTTAGAACTACTATGACCGAAATCAGTAGTAGACATCCGAGGAGGATCTTCCAAGAGCAACGAATTGATGTAGTGACATTTGTTCTAATAAAGAGATATTTTAGATTACAATTTGAATGAAAAGAAAAGAAAAGAAACATACTGAGATATTATATGCGTTGGTGTTGATTCTGAATTACAAGCAGGATTATGTATGGTTGTGCTAAGAGTAACATTCGGTGTAATTTCAAGAGAATTGATAGGATGAATACTATTTGTTCGTTTTTTTCGATAATCATTTACTTTAGATGCAATTCGAACTATTTTAGGACAAAGCCATGTAAGAACAATTGATAAACCACCTTGAAGACCAAGTAAGATAGTTATTGTATAGATAAAGCTGCTTTTTTTTTGAATATAAGTATATGAACAATACAATGGAGAACATTCATGAAAATAAGATGAATAGTTCATCTCTGTTGACCATTTCTCAATGAATAGATTATCAATAAGTTCACCTATCGTAGCGTTTATTGAGAAACGACTCGTCATGTTCAAGATAGGATTATGAGATCTCGTATAATTAGTATACTGATGAATGAGATCAATACATGAACGATCATAAAAACATTCAAGAGTCGAAGCACG